AAAAAAAAAACAGTAGGGTAGTTCAGCATAGAAAAATCGTCCTAAAAAGAGAGTAAAGGGTTGGGTAAATTATCATAGGTTGTTGGTGTACAAGGTAAGTATACAAGGGAAGCAAGTAATAAGATGATAAACCCATATATAAATGATAAAAATAACAAAAAGCAGAGGAAAACTACTGAATAAACTAACGAAAGTCTGCAGTGAACGAAGAATACTGCCCCACATATGGATCGAAGCTCAAACCATGAAATATGTGTATTGTGATTTCACACGATTTCAAGAAACTTTGAACTCAGCATTTCCCAATCTCAGCGTGATGAGAAGTACTTGGTGCTCAGTCACATATTCAATCTAAAAAAAGCCAGAATGGAAACTTCCAGACAGGAAGAGCTCCTCTAGTAGCAAGTACTATCACCTCATCCTACCAGTACGCTCCCATCAATCTCTCTGTCTCGATCCGCATTATATACAAGAGTAGCGAAAAGTGGATAAGGAAATAGTCAACGATAGGAATATCGAAGAGCAATCAATCCTCTCATCAATTCCATTGTGTTTTCTAGAACTTCTAAGATCTCAAAATTCCAGTTAGTTCTAAGGACTTATCACTTACAAGTATATGTATCGAAAAAAAAATTTCTTTTCCCGGAAAGATTACTGTAGCGTTTACCACCAAAAAAGCGCAGCAATTGCCTACGGAACTTTCTCAAGAAGTAGCTACTGGTTGCGATATTTGCGACCGCACTATTTTTAGTGATTTGCACTGTAGAATTTCCCTTTGCTCAAACTGCTGACGGAGAGAGCTTTGAAATAGTTTGAGGTTCTGAATAAAACAGTGGTTTTCGCCGTTCCGCACGTTTAGACGATATGTACTAGTAACGAGGCCACTCCCCCACTGCACAGTTCCGACCGGGATAACCGCAATTAAAGACAATAGCTGCAACGAAGGGCACTTAAGAGGGGAGGGAGGAGAAGGGAGACGATTCCACACGTCTACTAGTTACTTAATCCGTTACACCATGACCCTTGTCGTGCATACATCAAATCTCGTTGAAATGTCCATTCACTGAGTTCACCGAATCTACTTGTACAAACCAAGCGAATTCGTTCCCACCTCCCCCATGTGTCTTCCTTGTAATTCACGATAATAGCGAACCAATACTAACGGGCCACGTGGAACAAGAAGCATTACTCTGATGATCACACGGAAGTGAGGGATGGAAACAAAAATGAACGGGGAGATGTGCTTTTCCTCCTGTCTCTCTCTCACCTGATCTACAATTTTTACCCTTTCGGCGGAGCACGTAAGGATAGTCACCGACGTGACTTCAGAAATTTATCGCGGGAGGCCAACAGCACATTTCTATTAACTTTACTTTTCGGATACTAGGTTCGCATCATGAGGGCTTATGTGGGTTGCGCGTTACGGGAGTTGCGAACCAGGGTTTTTTATACATTCTGTTCGCGAATAAGAGGGATTTCAAGAACCAAAGGCTTGCGAATCAATGCGGACAACGACAAAATCAAAACCATATTCATCCAGCCCTGCCGACATCAAATAGCTCTCTTAATAGAAGTAAAAAATCTGTCTATCAACGTACTTATCACATGATTGGTAAACTACGCCTTTGCTCATGTCCATTTCTCCAACGCCTATTGTTGCAAGGTGACTGGGAAAAAGTGGTCAAATACCAACTACAACAGCATAGACCATGTCCAACAAATAAAAAGCATGGAATCCGCTGTAGTGTCACAGAAAGTGAATTGCCGAACATTACAGTAATCCACTTTGAAGTACAACGCTGGCGCAAGTCGCAATAAATGGTGAAGAAAGAAGAGATTCTGCAGTTAATAGGTTTTGAACACCCATCTTCAAGTACAAACTCTCATCAGTTATC